TATGAACTTTTTTTTTTTTTTTCCCTTTTTGTCTTTCTTCGTGACCAGCAACAGATCGCAACCCTCAGTGTCACGCCCGTACCGGACCGGGACCAGCAACGGGATTGCAACCCTCGGCACCGCGCCCGCACCTTGCTCAGCCAGTGAGCGGCCGGTCTGTATGTGGGATCCGAACCCTTCTCCCAAGCGGCACACTGCAGCAGTGCGCCACCGGGCCGGCCCTTTCATGAACTTTTTGAAATACCCTTGTATACACATAAATATACATCATGTCAGATGGTGATGAGTGTATCCAAAAATAAGGTAGGGTAAGGGGACAGGAGCACTAAAGGAATGCTGTTGATATAGTGATAGACATCTAGATTTCTTCAGTCTGGAAAGATCCCCAAGATAAGGAGACATGTGAACAGAGACCTGAACAAAGGGAGGAAACAAGCCTGCAGATATGAGGGGTGGGGTGGTGGAGAAACATGCTCCTGGCAGTGAGAACAGCAGGTGCAAAGGCCCCGAGGCAGACTCATGCTCGGGGTGGTGAGCATTCTGTAAGGAGGCTGATGTGGCTGGTGCAGGGAAAAGGGGGAGAAGGGAAGGGCATGAGATAAGGAATTTGGTTGGAAGCCAGATACTGAAGCATCTCGTAGGCCAGGGTTGGGACATTGGGTTTTACTCAGAATGAGAGGAAAAGACACTGCAGGAATTTGAACAGGGAGGGCTGACACCACCTGACCTAGATTCTGAAGGGATCTCTCTGCGTACAGTGTGGAGAACAGACTGGTAGGAGGTGATGGTGGAAGAAGGTGGCTTGGCCTGGGACGGGAGTGGTAGGGGTGGTGACAAGGGATCAGATTCTGGATCTATTTCTAAAGTGGAGCCAACAGGATTTGCTAGTGGATGATTTTTAATCCCACCCCCCAACCTTCAAGGAGAGGAGAGGGACTGACGGTTATGTTGATCACTAGTGGCCAATGATTTAATCAATCACGCCTATGTAATGAAGCCTCCATAAAAACCCGAAAGGCCTGTGTTTGGAGAGCTTCTGGATAGCTGAACACCTGGAGTTTCCTGGAGGGTGGTATGCCAGGGACGGCACGGAAGCTTCATGTCCCTTGCCCCATACCTCACTCTATGCATCTATATCCTTTGTGATATCATTTTGAATAAACCAGTAAACATGAAAAAGTTAAATAAATAAATAAATAAAGTCAAAATTAGGACTTAGAGCTCCTGATTTTGTGTGTCGAAGAGCACTCCATATCACCCCGGAGAGCCCTGTGCCTTTTCCTTAATCACCTGCAACCCCATGAAAACAAGGTCATGGCTGAACATGTGGCTTTTGACAGGAAAAACTTTAAGGTACTCGTTGCTGTTCTCAGAAGAATGAAATCAATTTATCACTGCTAAAAAACCAAAGCCCTACAAACTTCTAAAGCTGTATAACTTCTTGTTGATTTAAGCCAGATATGTAAGTCACTTGGCTCAGCCCAGTTTCAGTGGCCTTGGCTTCCTTTAATGACCACTTTTCCTTTTTGTTCCTAATAGCTTGAATAACAATGGAACCTTCCCATTGTCCCTGCTCCCAGCTTCTTTCCTGCATAGTTGAGGTGGGGAGGAAGGGACAGGGGAAAGGTGGGAGAGTCATTCAAAAGAAAACCCTATTTTGGTGTGGAAAGCTCTGTTTCCGGCTTCACTGAAACTGTTCTGGTTCCCACAAGGAGAAATCTCTTTGTGCAAGAAACTCTTGGTAACCATTCTTTGCCTCATGTCCTAGAAGCTTTGAAGTCCTAAGGGCTCATTCTTAGGAAGGCAGATCTCTATGTCACTTACCAGCAACAAGTTGGGCAAAGTCTCCTGGTCCTTGCAAGTCAGATGTTTATGCATTTTGACTCCCTCCATTCTGAGGACACAAATATTTTGGTACTGGAGAAAGGAGCAGACTGAGGGATGGAAAGGAACAAGGGACCCCTAGAGGAAGGTGAGGGGCTCAGCTTCTCCCCTCATCTCTGTAGAGCTCGGATACCCTTAGCGTGTTTAAAGCCACAGCCGTGTGAGGTCAAGTTTTTTGAGCAGAAATGACCTCTACGTCAGTCGTGGCTTTGATAGGACTTCAGCAAAGGGCTTGGCCAAGGCCACAGCTCACTGGATCACAGTGCCACACTGAAAAACAAAACCCTTCAGGCTCAGTACATTTTACTGCAAAGAGAAGTGGCAGGATTTGGTTTAACTGGCTATGTGTTGGTTGGACAGGTTATGTGATGGAATGTTCTTGAATCAGATAGGCACCATATGGTCCAGCAGAGATGGGTGACATTTACCCAGTTTGTGGGTTACCACATATGTTGCCCAGTGCAGAGGGGCACTTAATAGGATGACAGTGAAGAGGTAGAACAAGAATTACCGATGGCTGAATGGGATTCCAGTCATGGGCCAGCGTCTTTTGAGTTGTATATCCTTTTGATGTAAGGGATCTGTGTTCAAAGACCAGGGATGGACTGTGATACTGTGAAAATAGATATTTGGTCTTTATCCCCATCTCTTGACGTACAACTCCTAAAATCCTTAGAATCTCCAAAGCGATGACTCTTTTCACATGCTAATGATGTCTGGCAGCCCGAGGTAACTTCAGGCTGGGGACCACCGGTCACAGGTCACAGGAAAGGCCAAGATGAGATTTTTAATCCCACCCCCCAACCTTCAAGGAGAGGAGAGGGACTGACGGTTATGTTGATCACTAGTGGCCAATGATTTAATCAATCACGCCTATGTAATGAAGCCTCCATAAAAACCCGAAAGGCCTGTGTTTGGAGAGCTTCTGGATAGCTGAACACCTGGAGTTTCCTGGAGGGTGGTATGCCAGGGACGGCACGGAAGCTTCATGTCCCTTGCCCCATACCTCACTCTATGCATCTATATCCTTTGTGATATCATTTTGAATAAACCAGTAAACATGAAAAAGTTAAATAAATAAATAAAGTCAAAATTAGGACTTAGAGCTCCTGATTTTGTGTGTCGAAGAGCACTCCATATCACCCCGGAGAGCCCTGTGCCTTTTCCTTAATCACCTGCAACCCCATGAAAACAAGGTCATGGCTGAACATGTGGCTTTTGACAGGAAAAACTTTAAGGTACTCGTTGCTGTTCTCAGAAGAATGAAATCAATTTATCACTGCTAAAAAACCAAAGCCCTACAAACTTCTAAAGCTGTATAACTTCTTGTTGATTTAAGCCAGATATGTAAGTCACTTGGCTCAGCCCAGTTTCAGTGGCCTTGGCTTCCTTTAATGACCACTTTTCCTTTTTGTTCCTAATAGCTTGAATAACAATGGAACCTTCCCATTGTCCCTGCTCCCAGCTTCTTTCCTGCATAGTTGAGGTGGGGAGGAAGGGACAGGGGAAAGGTGGGAGAGTCATTCAAAAGAAAACCCTATTTTGGTGTGGAAAGCTCTGTTTCCGGCTTCACTGAAACTGTTCTGGTTCCCACAAGGAGAAATCTCTTTGTGCAAGAAACTCTTGGTAACCATTCTTTGCCTCATGTCCTAGAAGCTTTGAAGTCCTAAGGGCTCATTCTTAGGAAGGCAGATCTCTATGTCACTTACCAGCAACAAGTTGGGCAAAGTCTCCTGGTCCTTGCAAGTCAGATGTTTATGCATTTTGACTCCCTCCATTCTGAGGACACAAATATTTTGGTACTGGAGAAAGGAGCAGACTGAGGGATGGAAAGGAACAAGGGACCCCTAGAGGAAGGTGAGGGGCTCAGCTTCTCCCCTCATCTCTGTAGAGCTCGGATACCCTTAGCGTGTTTAAAGCCACAGCCGTGTGAGGTCAAGTTTTTTGAGCAGAAATGACCTCTACGTCAGTCGTGGCTTTGATAGGACTTCAGCAAAGGGCTTGGCCAAGGCCACAGCTCACTGGATCACAGTGCCACACTGAAAAACAAAACCCTTCAGGCTCAGTACATTTTACTGCAAAGAGAAGTGGCAGGATTTGGTTTAACTGGCTATGTGTTGGTTGGACAGGTAAAGGGCTTGGCCAAGGCCACAGCTCACTGGATCACAGTGCCACACTGAAAAACAAAACCCTACAGGCTCAGTACATTTTACTGCAAAGAGAAGTGGCAGGATTTGGTTTAACTGGCTATGTGTTGGTTGGACAGGTTATGTGATGGAATGTTCTTGAATCAGATAGGCACCATATGGTCCAGCAGAGATGGGTGACATTTACCCAGTTTGTGGGTTACCACATATGTTGCCCAGTGCAGAGGGGCACTTAATAGGATGACAGTGAAGAGGTAGAACAAGCTTGATAAGACTATATAATGACCTTGCAAAGCGTGAAATGTAAATATTATACCAAACTCCATCTAATAAAATATTTAAAATTACCTAAATTTTTGCCCTTAACATTCAACAAGTACAAAAGACCATCTCCTATGGAGGAGCTAAAAATAAAGAATAGCAGTATACTTAGAAATAATGTTTATTTCCAAGTCTGGACTGCAAGGGAGTTGCAAATTTGCAGAGGATGGACCACTGTGCACTGTCTGTGGCTATAAAAACTCCTCATCATTGAGAAGGATGGACTCCCACAAATCCCATCTTTTAAAACAGAGAGGCCTTGGAGATTTTGTAGGCAGCAGAATGTTTTTTGGTGAAGCCATGAATGGTGTGACCATGACGGTGATTAATAAATGGTCCAGGTCTCCTCCCCTAATACCACTGAAAAGGATCTCCACATTCCAACTCTAGCCAGTTGTTGGAATAGTAATCCCAGGAAAACATTCCCTGAACTCATTTCTTCTGTGTTTGGAAAAAGAGGAATGCTTTGAACACACAATCAGCTTCTGCTGGGCTCCGCTAATAGCAGCTTCTCCAGATAGTCATAGAATGTGGCTAGAAAATCTATGTAGACTGGGGTTCCCTGGGCAGGAAGTGGGAAAGGGGAGAATGCTGTGACACAGTGGCTCCTTGGGGGGAGACCTTGTAACCTGGGTGTCTTCCACCGTGACTGAAAGGGCTGGGAAGCTAGCTGTAATACTCTCCTTGGTGGCCAGGTGACTAATCCAGGCACAAGTTCATTAACAGGAGGAGAGATGGGAGGAACAAAACTATTCAAGAGATTCAGGCCTTATCCATCTGGCTTACCATGATGAATATCGTCAGGAGGAAGATGCTCATTGACATGATGGAGAAGCTGTCCAGGAACCAGGTACACCAAATCACTGCATTGGAGACACCCTGATTTTTCAAGGTCTCCTTCAGTCTCAACTCCTTCTCCAAGACGATGCTCTTTACAGTCATGGAGACAGAGTAGATCCATGCCAGCACCATGAAGATAGGGAAACAGCGGTTCAGGATGATCATAAAACTAAAGCAAGAGGAGAGAAGCAGAATAGTAGAATGCCCTGTACCCAATAGAGGCAGAAAAATGTTTGTTGACTGAATGTGTTCAGAACACAGCCCAGATGGAGGGAAAGGAAAGCAGAAAAATCTCCACTGGGCATTCAATAGGCTGGAATCTTTTAATACATTCTACGTTTGCCCTGAAGCATTACTTTTCCTTTAGAGCAAGATGGTGGCATTCTGGTTAGCCCAGATGAATGCTCTCTAACTAAAATGTACAAATAAAATCACTCCATCTATGTCACACTGTGTAGACCTTCCCTGTAAAGCCTTGTGGGAAAAGATTGCAGACTTGATGATGTGGAATAGTTAAGTACGTGCTAACTGACACTGAAGCCCAAGAGAGTGGAGCACACCAAGGGGAACTGGCGGTGGTGAGATCAATAACTGGGTTGCCCAAGGGGGTCAATCAGCCCAGCACTGCCTGCCCTAGAAGGTCAAACCCTAGTTATGCTAGAAGAGGTACAAAGTGACTAATCAGTGTGGCACTTTCAGAAAACAACTGGTCCAGCAATAAATCAGTGATCCAATTGCCACTGACTCCACCAGCCATGCACAGGTGGAGGAGATCCCTGGATAGTCACTCCAACAAGCAGGATACATTTGATATACTGGAATTACTTTGCTGTGAACTTTACACATGTTTACCCTGTGATTGATATTCTAGTAAAGCCTTGGGATTACTATCTGTTGAAAACTGTTGGGTGTTGTCACAAGGAAGGGCCCAACTCTAGTGTGGGAGGGTTTCACCCAAGATGGCCCTCGGGAGAGAACCATCCATTCACACAGCATGCACTTCTCGGGCTGGTCATCAGAAGACTTGTTGCCTTCCCACACCCACCCCACTTCCCTGCTAGCCACTCCCATTCTGATCCCAAAAGTGAACCCCGGCTTTTGCCCTTGGCTCCACTTCCTATCTCTGCCTATTGTCCAAACCCAAACTAACTGCAGAACAGCCACTGTTATCTCTTCAGTCTTCTGTGGAGCTGAGACTGGAGAACCAATTGGACTAGAGTGTTGAGAGAGGGTTTCCTGTGTGCACACTGGGTTTTATTTTACTCTCTCTCCAGATGGCAATTTGACTTTTCCTTTCTTCAGGCTGTGCATGTTTCTCTTCTGCCTGAATGACACAGACCTGCACAAGTTCTATGGTGAACTTTCTAGTTATTTTTTTTCCCCCTAGGAGTTGAATCCTTAAGCCAATTGTAGGTCTCTAGTGCTGTCCTGGGAGCGTTTCTGACACCATCTGCCATGGTAAATGAGCCCTCTCAAACCCCTCTCCCTTTCTGTCCCTCTCTCTACCAACATCGCCTCACCCCCAGTCCATATTCAGCAAAGCACTGGCTGCTTGCTTAGCTTGCTACTTACCAAGAGATGTACACGCCTGCCTGGGGGTGGGGGTGGCCGGGGAGGGAGGGCCCAAGCTCATCCAACACATTCCTCTACTTTTCATTAAACATACATCACGGGAATGTTAATTAGGGAAGGAGCTGCATAATTCCAGAGCTCCTAGGAACCAGACCTACTTGTGATGCAGAGTCCGAATTTACTGATCTGGCAATCATTGGGCAAACGCTCTGACCAGAACCCTTTCATACACCAAACATACTACACAGAGGGAAATTTAAATAGCCTTTGTCCCTTCCCCCAACCTTGCTTCTCTTGCTTTAATTTTCACCTTCCCTTTCCCACCTACAACACCATCTCTTTCCTCTCTCCCACCACTTTACTGGCTCATCTGTCCCTGCTTGGAACCTGGAAGCAACAGGCTCCTTAGTCAGAGCTCCATTCTCCCCAGACTGGCCCCACTTCCTGGGGTTCTCTCCAAAGACACCGAAGCCTTGGGAGCACCCCCACCTCACCCCACGCCACCATAGCACCCCAGTAACTTCTCAGGGAAGAGGATCGGGAGTCTGGGACTTACGAGTCATCCACAAAGCAGGGGTATGGCATCTGCTGGAGATAGACTCCAACTGCAGCTTCAGCCCCAGCCTGGCTTCTTGTGATGCCCTGTTCAAGCATGTCCTGCAGATAGGCAAACCCTCCCCAGATGTATCGGAAATCTTCCACGGGATCAGCTCTGGGACCAGAGTCCCAGTACCTGAGAGGACACAGGAGGGAGGGACAAAGGACATGAATGGGAATGGACAGCTTGCTCATCTCACAAGCACAAGGCAACTTGGAACTCATGCTCTTGAGACTTTTCTCCTAAACATTTCCAAACTATCCAATCCTATTTTCTACTTCACAGTTTAAATCTCAGTTATGAATATTAGCCACAATGTGACTCTGTAGTTGCTTTCATTCAAGGACTCTATTTTGAGCTTTAGAAAATATCTTCTTTCCTCCTACTTAACTTAATTGTATTGATTTATAGATCAATTCCAGCCTCAACCCCTTACTCTGTACCGAATGTAATTTCCCACTGATTTTGGAGAAACCCAATGAGCCCTGCCTGAGATGTCACCTGTCTTTGATCTTGTTGGTTTTCTCCACCACGTCTATGTCCATCCGGATCTTGTACTTCACGTGGGGTGGTAGAGAGCTGGTCCAGGGATACATGTCAGGGAACACCACACCAGCCCAGAACCTGTTTTCCTCCAGCAGAGACAGGGCTCGATGGGTGAGCTGAACTTCATCATCGTAGCTTTCAAACTTATCCAGGATCAAGCACTGCAGGTAATCACAAAGGTCGAGAGAGTCTGAGGAGCATGAACCGCAAAGACTCAGCTGCACATAAAAAGGCAGAGGACAAGGGTTGCTGCCCCAGGAGATGGGTCAAATACAAGGAGACCTATAAACTTAGTGTTTGCTTAACTCTGGAGTCTGGTGTTCATTTTTCAATGTGTCTTGATAGAGGGGCACAAGGGGGCTTAGAAATGCTGACTTGCTCTTATCCCTGCAGAGCTAGTGAGAACTGCACTTTGCAGCTGTCCAAGGCTGTCCAAATATGCAAGTCCTCAAAATGACACAAACACTTGGGCTCTCACTCCCCAGCGTGGGGAGGCGAGGGAGTGGGGTCACACTGGACACAGACTGCTTTGAAGATCAGAAAGCCTGATGATAAAAGAGTTTTAAAGAGAGAAGGAAACATTCCTAGCATTGAACCTTCCTGGCTCTCTCCAAACACATGGGCTGACCAGCTGAGGGAAGAACACGGAGGAAGAAAGAAAATAACAGACAGCCAAAGTGACTTAGTCAGAGAAATCATTTCCAATTACAGTTTCATGACGAGTAATGCTGGTAGAAGAGGAATTTCTCCAATATGTCTCTTTTCTCCTCCTGGAAGAGGAAAATCATTATCCACAAAAGAGCAAAACTAAAAATTTTTAAAAATTTGAATACAAGGGACTGTCCACTTATATAGATTTGTTAAAGCATTTGTAATGTATTTGCATCTGGTATGTCTCTTTTCTCCTCCTGGAAGAGGAAAATCATTATCCACAAAAGAGCAAAACTAAAAACTTTTAAAAATTTGAATACAAGGGACTGTCCACTTATATAGATTTGTTAAAGCATTTGTAATGTATTTGCATCTGTTTTTTTGGCTTAACGTCTTGTTCCTTTAATAGACTAGGGGTATTTGTGTCGACGTTTCTTTCCTAGAATGTAACTCACAAGAGGTCAGATGGCCTTGTCTTGATTAATTTGTTTTCTGAATACTTATGAGAGTCTGCAATGTGCCAGAGCCTGCTTGGCTCCAGAGATACAAGGCGGAAAGATAAAATCTTTTCCTGAAAGAAACTCAAGACCTAATGAGGGAGATGGTTGGAGTAAACCAACCATCATAGTGTGGAATGATCAGGTTCTGATGAAACCAAGCCCACTGTGCTTGGGGAGCCCAGCGGAAGGAGGCTAAGTCTTCCTGGAGGGGTCAGGGAAGGCTACATGGAGGAAGAGGCTCCTGAGTAGGAGGAGGAGCAGCAATTAGCCAGAGAGGAAAGTGGGGGAAAAGTCAGCTCGGGTGCAGGAAACAGCAGGTGGGTGTCTGGGGACCTGCAAGAACAGAGCAGTAGTTCCCATCTGTGGCTGTGCTTTACACCACTGGGGAGCTTTAAAAAGACACCTACCCGTGCCAGGCCCCATGCCAGGCCCCATGCCAAACAGCTCAATCAGAATCTCAAGAGGGGTGGTAGGGCATCAGCATTTTGTAAAAATCTCCCCAGCTAGTTGCAAAACCAGAGAAGAGCATAGGCTGAACAGAGGTGAACGGTGAAAGTAAGAGATGAACACTAGAAAAAGCTGGATGGGGACTAGATTGATTGCCCTGCAGGGCTTGTTAGTGTGACCAACCCACTGAAGGGTTTCCCGGGACACACAGGGCATTTTGCAGGGCTTGTTACTGTGACCAACCCACTGAAGGGTTTCCCGGGACACACAGGGCATTTAGTGCTACAATCAGGAGAGTTCCAGTCAAACCCTAAAAAGCCATAAGGAGCCACTGTAGAGTTTTGAGTAGGGCTGCAGGGCTTGTTAGTGTGACCAACCCACTGAAGGGTTTCCCGGGACACACAGGGCATTTAGTGCTACAACCAGGAGAGTTCCAGTCAAACCCTAAAAAGCCATAAGGAGCCACTGTAGAGTTTTGAGTAGGGGTATGACATATGGACCAGACCATATTTCTGAAAGATCACTTGTAGGGGGGAGGGGGAAAAGCAGAAAGACTGGCTGTTGATGTAACGCAGGCTTTGAGGAACACATTCCCACAAAAAGCCTGTGAGTCACCTGGAACCCACATTTTACCCAAGAGGAAACTGAACTTGAGGAGACCCGTCTGAGGTCATGCAGACAGAAAGTGGCAGAGCCTGAATTCCCTCCCCACTTTCCAGCCCTAGGCCCAGATTTCTTCCTGTCATATCAGGTACTGGCAGAGCCTTCCACGTGTTCACTACTGTCTTCTAAGAGGGATTATTATTTATCCTCACTTTGCAACCCAGGAAACTTAGGCTCAAAGAGGCCAAGTAACTTCCCCAAGGCGGTAGAGACCCAGATATTTGGTTCCGCAACTATTGCCAGGAGAAATAAGAAACAGAGAGGAGGAATCGTGAGGACCTGATCAGAAAACCAAACTCTACCACACTGGCAAGAAGCAGGCAAACCCAGCTCATTCACCAAAAACCCCTCACTCCAGATCCCACCTCATGGCATCAGAGCTTGAACCAGAAGCCTCTTATTGCAGGGCTGTACTTGAACAACGAGGTGTTGCAAACCCTCCCTGCTTGGGCCTTTTGAACTAAACTCAGGCTCCCGCCTCAGGCTATACTCGCTGGGAGCGGGTCCCCTGGAATGTTCTCACTGGTCTAGATAAAAAGAAAGAAAACAAAGGAAGCTGTTAGCTTTCCAGCTGATGTGATCAAGAGAAACACAGGTACATGAAAACTCTAGAGGACCAAGGCTTAAGTGACACCATACCAAGAAGATAACTATTTTAAAAGGAATGGGATTGGCATTTCTTTAAGAAATACGGGTAAGTGTAGTCACACATCATGGAGTTAAGGGAAATGGAGAATTTCCTTTAGTCAGGAATTTTCTCGAAAACAAGCACTGCCAGTCTAACATTGGCCAATCCTTAAATGAGATGAAGGACTTTAGTATGTCATACACCAAAGGTTCTCAATAAATGTTTGTTTCTTCTAAACAGAAATAATGTAAGGTTTGCTATTTTATACATAGTTTTTGGACTCTTATCACAGTTGGAGACCAAGGGCCTGACAGCCAGGGTTTGTCAGTACTTAAGCCAACAACACTGCACGGGGACCGAGAACTGACAGTCTGCCGCTTGGGCAGGGCGGCTTCAGAACCGAACTGCTAGAGCACATTAAACAAAATACACACTAAGCTGGCTTTAGGAAGACCTTCATGTTCTACATTATGAGTAATAAAATAACTCATTTTTATCAGTTTGTCGAATTTAGAACAACATATATAGAATTTTAGTATTGGTAATTAGAGTGAAACTGAAATTAAATTTCTAAAATGAAAAACAAAATTATTTTGGGAGATAAAAGTTCTTTGCACGTCACATAGTGACAAAGACATAGAATGTTCTACCAATTAACTTGGAATCACAGGGCATCTGGACAGAGTCTTAGAGGTCTTGTGGTGTTTCGTTGCTTCACTAGTGGAGAAGCAGGGTTCAGAGGAGCAGCGGGCCTTGTCCAACACAGGGAAGAAGCAGAATCTGATCGATGTCTGCAGGGAGGTGCTGTTCCCCACCGGTTACTCTGAGAGTGAGCCACCCTCCAACCACAAAGTTGGGGCACAGCATTACCAAATGAGGTCCCCTGCCCTAGAGCAGCACTGTTCAGTAGCAACGACGGAATTGTTCTATACTTGCCCTGTCCAATATGGTAACCAGTAACCACAAATGGCTATTGAGCACTTGAAATGTGGCTGATGCATCTGAAGCATTGAATTTTTAATTTTAATTAATTAAAATATAAACAGCCACACGTGGCTGCTGGTTACTGTTTTGGTCAGCACAGCTCTAGAGACAGCTGGTTCCTTGAGGTCAGGAGACATATCTTGTTCATTTTGGTCTCTGGAATAGTATTTTCTCATGGTAGGGACTCCACAAGTATTTACTGACTGAAATTTAAAGTTCTGAATGCTACTAGGAGTATAGCTTTACTACCATATGTTTTGAACATAATTCTATGCATGTTGGATTCACAGGATAAACTAGGAGAAATTCACGAAAACTAATTTTTCTTATGATGTTAATGAGAGTATAACTCTTTGAAACAAACAAACGAAAAAACCCAATAAAAACAAACACATTTTAATACGTGATTTACAGAGCTATGCAGCCCATTCTCTTTGAACTGTCCTTTCATGTCTTAAGGGGAACTCTACACTGGAATAAGCAGCTGATGTTTTCAGTGACATTGTTGACTCCCAAGATGACGTGGGCCCCATCCTGCTGGTTTGCCAGGCAGCTAATTCATAGTCATGTTTCCTGATTCATCCCCCTAGATTGGTACCCTGATACTCTTAAACGGTTCTCAAACACGTCTATGCTGAAACATCTAATCCATTTTCAAAGTTGGTTTGTTTCTTCATCTTGGAAAGTGGTATAGCATAGTGTTTAAGGGTCAGACGGACCTGAATGCCATCCTGCTTGCTATTTCTTAACTGTGTGGCCTCTGTTTCCCTTACTGTCAAGGTGAGATACACCCTACCTCATAGGTTTGCTCTTAGGATCACATGAGACGGTGTTTGCGAAGGGCTCACCAAGTGCCTCACTCTAAGAAGAAAATCTGATGCTTACAGAAGGCTTACTGACTACGTGCCTAAAGCTGGTCTGAGGGCTTTGCTTGTATTAACCCCACTTTATCCTCAAAACCCTGTGAGGTCAGTTCCTACTATCACTACAAGTTCACTTACGAGGCGCAATGAGATAAAATAAACTTCCTCTGGATAGAGTCTGTGTTGTTAACCACTATAGTATACTAAACTGTCTCATAAATAATGAGGACTCAATAAGTACCATTTTATTACTGTTTTTGCAAAATATCTTGTACGTCAACAGAGTCAAGTGACTTTTAAGCCCCCGCCAGGTTACCTTTTATTCATGACAGCTATTTACCGGGGGGAGGAAGGCAGTTATTTTCCTTAAATAATGGTATCTGGGAACACAACCCATCTTGAGCAGATCCACAGCATCTCACCTG